TTAGATTTCGTTCATTTATTGTGTCCCAGATTTCTTGAATGTTTTGTGATGAGAATTTGTTGGATTTGCTGTTTTCTTTGAACAGAGCGTTTATTTTCTCTATGGCATCTTCAGAATCTGAGATTTGTTCTTCTATCTCTTGTATTCTATTGGTTATGCTTGATTCTGTAGTCTCTGTTCATTTACCTAGATTTTCCATATCCAGCCGGCCCTCGATTTGTGTTTTCTTCATTGCATCCATTTCAGTTTTCAACTCTTGAACTGTTTCCATTACCTGTTTGATTGTTTTTTCTTGGTTTCCTGGATATCATTTACAGATTTACTGATGTCTTCAAACTTTTTGTTATACTTCTCATCCATTTCTTTACACATTTCTTTAAAATTTTGTTGTACTTCTCATCCATTTCTTTAAGGGAGTTATTCATATCCTGTTTAAGGTACTCTATTGCTTTCATAATGGCAATTTTTTCCACTTCTTCTGGATTAAGTTGTTCAAGTCCTTCTATTCTAGGGTCGTTGGGATCTGGTGTTTCATGTTGTTTTTCACATTGTTGGAGGAGTTCTTGCCTTGACGTCTGCCCATCTTTTCCTTCAAATGCTCTATATTGGATCTTCTGATACCAGGTCAGGTTCCCTTGTTGGGCAGAGACTTCACTGACAAGAGGCCTACTTTTCCTCAGGCAGGCTATTGAAACACAGGCACCATATAGAAGTTTTTTAGCTACAGGAGGTCCCAGTTGTTTCTCTAAATGTTTGTGCTACTGATGTTTTATTTAGGAAGTGGTCTCCTGTGTCAATGTGTTTGAGTATACTTCCCACTTTCTCTTCTATAAGGTTTAGAGAACCTAGACAACAATAAGGACCCTAAGAGAGATATACATAGATCTAATCTACATGGGTAGTAGAAAAAGACAAGATCTCCTGCGTAATTGGGAGCATGAGGACCTTGGAAAAGGATTGATAAGGACAGGAAAGGCAGGGACGGGAGCAGAGAAAAATGTAGAGCTCAACAAAAATCAATAAAAGAAAAGAATTGAGGCTTGAATATAATTACCTCAGAACTCACATGGTAGAAAGAGAAATCTGGCTCTCATAGGTTGTCTTTTGGCTTCCATAGATGCTCTATGGCACACACACACACACACACACACACACACACACACACACACACACACATCTACACCACATAAATAAACACACAAACAAATGTAAAGAATGAACCCAAATATACTACTTTGCTTAGAATCTGTGCTGTGTACTAGCTCAAGCAGTTGTTGCCACCGTTTTCCTTGGTAGACATAGATATCATATAACTAAACTGATAGTTTCATTAGCTTGGATAGACTGTGAAAATAATAGTAGAGAAACAATTGCAAGGATCAAAGATCTGATGGCAACATGTAAGTATTTAAAACAGACATTGTGTCAGTATAATTCCAGAGATCCAAATCCCAATATGCTTGAAGATCATCATGTCCTAAGAAGCTCCCCAGAGAGGACTCACCTAAGCCTCCAGAAACACTGAAAATCAGTCTAATGGCAGTTATCCTTTCATCCTAGACACCCCATGTTGTAGCATGTATTTTATTGCTTTTATGTTCTATTATGCTGATTTATTTTAAGTTATCTATTGCTTTATCCTGTCATTATTATTATCATTATTATTGTTATTATTATTAAAGATTTTACTAATAAGGAATTTGAGTCTTCTTCCATAACTCAATTTTATTCTCCATTACACATTACATAATAGATAGTAATTGAAATGTAATGGATGTAGTAAAGGACAAATTATCATGCAAAGAATGGTTTATTATCAGACTGCCCATTCAGTTGTATAAGAAACAATTTATGTTTAGGAAGTGGTCTCCTGTGCCAATGCGTTCAAGTGTGCTTCCCACTTTCTCTTCTATAAGGTTCAATGTGGCTGGCTAGATGTTGAGGTCTTTGATCCATTTGGACTTGAGTTTTCTGCATGTTTATAGATATGAGTCTATTTTCATTCCTCAACACTTTGATATCCAGTTATGCCAACACCATTTGTTAAATATTCTCTTTTTTCCATTTGATATTTTTGCTTTTCTGTCAAAAATCAGATGTTAGAAGGTGTGTATTAATATCTAGGTCTTTGAATGGGTTCCTTTGGTCCTCCTGTCTGTTCTTATGCCAATACCGGACTGTTTTCAGTACTGTAGCTCTGTAGTCGAGTTTGATGTCAGGGATTGTGATGCCTCTAGAAGTTCCTTTATTGTGCAGCAGCACAGACACTGAGAGAAACAATTAATAAATGGCAACTCCTGGAACTGAAAAGCTTCGATAACGCAAAGGACACAATCAACAAAACAACAGCCTACAGAATGGGAAAAGATCTTTACAAACCCCATATCAGACAGAGGTTTGATCTCCAAAATATACAAAGAACTCAAGAAATTGGTCATTAAAAGAACAAATAATCCAATAAAAAAAAATGTAGTACATATCTAAACAGAGAACTCTCAACAAAGGAATCTAAAAATGGCTAAAAGATAATTAAGGAAATGTTCAACATCCTTAGTCATCAGAGAAATGAGAATCAAAACAACTCTGAGATTCCATCTTACACCTGTATTAATAGCCAAGATCAAAAACATTGATGACATCTTATGCTGGAGAGGTTGTGGGGTAAAGGAAACACTTCTACTTCTAAATTGCTGGTGGGAATGCAAGCTGGTACAGCCACTTTAGATGTCAGTGTGGTGATTTCTCAAAAAATTAGAAAACAATCGTTCTCAAGACACAGTAACACCACTTTTGGGTATATATCCAAAGGATGCTCAATCATGCCTCAAGGACATGTGCTCAGCTATGTTCATAGAAGCATTGTTTGTCATAGCCAGAACATGGAAACATTCTAAATGCCCCTATACTGAAGAGTGGATAAAGAAAATGTGGTACATTTACACAATAAAGTACTACACAGCAGAAAAATAATGACACGTTGAATTTTGAAGGAAAATGAATGGAGCTAGAAAATATCATTTTGAATGAGGTAACCCAGACACAGAAAGACAATTATCACATGTACTCACTCATGAGTGGATTTTAATCATAAAGTAAAGGAAATGACCCTACAAATCATAATCCCAGGGAACTTAGATAACAATGGGACCTTAAGACAGACAGACATAGATCTAATCTACATGGGAAATAGAAAAAGACAAAATCTCCTGAGTAAGTTGGGAGCATGGAGACCTTGGAGTAGGGTTGAAGGGAAGGGGAGAGAGAGGGAGAGGAGCAGAGAAAAATGTAGAGCTCAATAAAAATCAATAAAAAAGAAAACAGTAAAACAGAGAAACATACAGGATAGAAAAAACAGTGTATGTTTTAAATATACTAAAAATTGTTGACGTACATTATATTATAAGAATATATTATGTCCCAGCTTGGTGATTTAAAAGAATATATATCTCTCATTCACCTACATATAAATAATAAATGTATAATGCAAATAATATATATAATATATCCACTCACTTTTATAGTATCATAGAACCTTAATCTGGCGATGGATGGAGTTAGAGATTGAGACTCATATTGTAACACTGAATTTAACTCACTAGGTCCAAATGAGAAGCAGAAGGTGGAAGAACGTGAGCAAGGAAGGCAAGACCAGAGGGTACCTTCATCCGACGATGGATGGAGATAGAGACAGAGACCCACACTGGAGCACTAGACTGAGCACTCAAGGTCCAAATGAGGAGCAGAAGGAGGGAGAACATGAAAAAGGAAGTCAGGACCGCCAGGGATGCGTTCACCCACTGATACAAGGGGACTGATTGAATGAGAGCTCACCAAGGCCAGCTGGACTGGGACTGAAAGAGCATGTGATCAGGCCGGATTCTCTGAATGTGGCTGACATGGGGGCTGACTGAGAAGCCATTGACAATGGAACTGTGTCTTGTTTCGTTTGCATGTACTGACTTTTTGGGATCCTAGTCTGTTTGGATACTCACCTTCCTAGACCTGTAGGGAGGAACTTGAACTTCCCACAGAGCGGGAAACCCTGACTGCTCTTAGGACTGGAAAGGGAGGAAGAGAGGGAGTGGGGGAAATGGGAGGGTATGGGGAAGAGGGGAGGATGTAGAAATTTTTATAAATAAATAAATAAGTAAATAAAAAAATTTTCTGATAATTTTTTAAGGCTAGTAATTATGTGAAATCCAAAACTTTAACCAGGAAAGTATTTTTCCATCAGAGATCTGGCTGTGGGAAAATTTTGAGCATATGTTCATGTGTCTCTTTAGTTGTATATTATTATTCACTAATATTATAGCTACTGATGTAGGAATAGTCCCACAATGACTTTGGGTGATCAGGCATCCTTATAGTGGGATGTAGAGTCCTTTGGGTATATAACCAGGAAGAGGATAGCTAGATCATGCTGCATAGGCTACTTATAGATTTCTAGCTATCATAATGATTTCCATGTCGACATACCAGTTTGCACACTCACAAGTAGTGAATAAGTGTTCCCATTTCATCACACCCACACCCATATTTGTCTTCTTGTGTGGTTTTGCCCTTAGCCATCTTATTGTGATAAGATGAAATATCAAACTTGTTTTAATTTGTGCTTCATGGTGGTTGAAGATGTTGAATATTTTGAAGGGTTTCACAGCTATTTGCATTTGTCTTTTGAGAACTCTGTTTAGATTCATGCCCCATTTTTTGTCTTGTTCTCCTTTTTGATGATTTCACTTGTTAGTTCTTTGTATATTCTAGATAATGACCAATTGTCAGATGTGTACATGGTAGACATTTTCAGTTTTGTAGACTGTCCCTTCATTAAAATGATGATGTCCTTAGTTGGACAGAAGCATTTTGATTTCTTGAGGTCCCATTTATTAATTGCTAGACTTAACACCAGCTCTATCAGAGTCCTTTCAAGAAATCCCTTCCTATACCAATGAGACCAAGTATATCCCTTTCTTGTTCCACTACCAGATTCAGGTATCACCTGCTGAAGTTCTTGGACCATTTGGAGGTGAGTTTTGAGTGAAGTGAGAGTTAAGAATCTAATTTTTGTGACATGTCACTACCAAGTTTGGCCACATTTACAGATTTTGTCATTTCCCCAATTAGTATTTTTATTTATTTTGTAAAATTAAATATGCATTTTGAAGTCTGAGTTTGTATGAGGGTCCTAAATTCTGTTCATTGATTAATGGTTCTATTTTATATGCAGATACCATGATTTCTTATAACTTTGTGTGTAACTTGAATTCTTGGATTGTAATACCTCCAGAAGTTTTCTTTTGATCTTTCTTTCTTTTTTCATTTTTGTTCAGGATTCTTTTTGTGGGAATAATCTGGATATTCTATAATTCCATATGAAATTTAAAATAATTTGTCTATTTCTGGGAAGAATTGTACTGGAATTTTGACAGAAATCATGTTGAATATGTATTTTCCTTTTGATAGGATGTTTATTTTCACATATAAATTCTATATATCTGGGAGATTGTAAGTTTTTTTTTCAATTCTGAAACAGGAAGGGTAAAAATTAAAGTAGAAGAGAGGAAGGTAGGGTAGAGGAGGGAGCAAAAAAAAGGATAAATGACTTTCTGAAAAAGTCTTATGGAAACATCCCGACCACTGCAGAATACAGGTTTTGACTATATGATCAGTAAAATAAATAAGGGATGTTATTGATATGAGAGGGCTAGAGAGATGGCTCAGTGATTACGAGCACTGTCTGCTCTTCCAAAGGTCCTGAATTCAGTTTCCAGCAAAACATAGTGGCTTACAACCATTTGTAATGAGTTCTGGTGCTCTCTTGATGAAGATACCTGGTCAGTTGTCCTCAAGAACTTATTCCATGAAACACAATTTAGACAAGTTCAACAGAACTGCCATATATGGGCTACCCATGGAAGCTTCAACATTGCAAGGAATAAATTTCATTTTATTTTTATTGCTACGAGATATCCTCAATTACAAAAAACAGTTGTGTGTATATATATATATATATACACACATATATATATAAATCTATGTGTGCATACCATTTACACACACACACACTCACACGTTACTATGTTTTGAATATACAATGTCTACTAAAAGACTAATTTATTGAATTAAATTTTCTCAGGATTATGGATGAGATCTTTACAAAGTATTGATTGGTCCTCAAATCTTTAAATTCATGAATACTACTGTTTGAAAAGCAAGGCTATTGGCCTCTATCCTATAACATACATTTTTGTTTTTGTTCTACTCTTCTGCCATGACTTTTGCCTACTTACTATAAACTTTTATTAGATGTATGATTGAACTAATGGAGTTTAGAAATGGCCAAGTGTAAGATGTTATTTTTAATATCAGAACAATATTATTTTTGTATTTTCTCTCATAGGAAATATAGACAGCTTCTTTAAATTATGTTTTGATTAGTACAGACATCATGATAACAAAACACTCACTACATTCAATTTCATATCTAAACCAAAATTGACATAAAGCAACAGGGCATGTCAATTATGATGAAATATAATGACATTAAGTGCAATTTTAATTTATTAAGCTAGACTTGCTCGTCGTGATTTAATGTTTATCACTCCTTTGGGAATGCCTGAATTTTACACACACCTCCATCAACAATGCTCAGTTGATGGTCTGCATTTTATCCCACAGGGAATCCTAAGGCATTCTGAGGGGAATTTCAGTTTTTCGTATCCTCTTTCCCAGGAAAAAACTACACAAATATGCAATTGGTTGGCACTGAGTTTAAAGATTAATTATATAAACACAATTTTCCTTAGTTTTCTTTGTAAGTGAAGCCATCTAAGTGAGTCAGGGAACTACACAGTCTTCACATCAGAGCTGTCATGTGTCATTTCTGCTTTTGAAGGATCTCTACAATTCCTTAGAAGATATTAGTAACATTGAAAATATTTCCAAACATTAATCCATATAAAGAAGTTTTAAAATTTACAAGTTTAAAGTCTATGAACTTAGAGTAATTTTGGAATTTATGTACAAAATGCAAAAATAGCCAGGGGCTAGTTTTTAAAACTAAAGATTGAAAAATTTGCATGTATTATTTTCATGACTAAAATCTGAGCAAGGAACATAGCTATAAATTTAACTATTCCTTATAAATTATGTATTGTCCTTCCACCATATTTATAAGGGCTTTTTCAGTTTTGTTGAGATAAAATATGAGTGCTTCAGAATTCAGGTCTCAGATTGACATTATTCTTGTATAAGAAATAGATAATCTGATATAAAGACCCATCCAAGGGAATTAAATTTTTGATTAAAACAGAAGGTCTACAAATTAAGTAGTAAATTCTTTATACTCATCACGTGATAATAGTTTCATTGAACATTTTTTATATAATATAGATATATGATATGTACAGATGAATATTTATAGTTATAATTATATGTAAATGTACAATGAAACACTTTTGTATAAATATATAACTGTAATTGAGTTCTTTACATATAATAATATTAATTATGTATTTATAAGTGAATATATCTGTTTGTGTTATATATGTATGTATGTATATATATATATCAACATTTGTTATTTGAAAAATTCTTACATATACTTTACTTAAGGATTTTTAATGATTTTGTGATTTGGGATAGCATTAAGTAAATTCATTCACTATAAAATCTCACTCTATCTGTACAGTTACTGGCATCGGTTCTTCATATAGTCTGCATCTAGTTAATATTTGGCTTCTATTGTTTACTAAAAAGAGATAAAGTATCACTTGCATGTGGACGAACCTTCAGACTCTGTCACTATGCTTATTACAATTTTAAAGCTGAAGCCTCCTCTTAATAATACATAGATTCCATATTAAATAAACTTGAATTCTTATCAAAGTAAAGTGATTCTGATAATATATCTATTAGTAACACGAAGGTTAGAATGAATGTTCCCCCAAAACTTCTGAGCATTTCTCAATATTTTGTTTTGGGTAACTCTCAAACTCCCTCTTATCTCCTTGGCTCGGCTCCCCTTTACTATTCTTATCAACTTACGACTGAGACTTTTGCCTATTTTTATGACCTTTTCTTTTCTTTACTTCTGTGTAAGATTAGTTTTTTATCTCTCATCTCTGTTTTCCTGTCTGATTATTTTCATTTCTTCACAATTGCCCACTCCTAGTTTGGAGAACTTTCTTAAAGTATTTTACAGAAGAAACAAGTTATATAGATCCATGAAACAGACAAATGTCAACTGTCCTCTGTGGTTAATGAAGGGTATGGCATCATTCATGTTCTTGATTCCCATGCTACTCCTTCACATTACCATGTTAATACTCCATGATTCAATTCTATTCAATAAAAGAAACTGCTCTTGTTGAAGCCTCTAATATCTCTGTATTTACCTTCTCAGAAATTTTCTTCTCAGAAAAATCTCTTACTTTCTCTCTCTCTCCCTAAAGCATTTGTTTTTGTCACTTGGCTCTGTATTCCTGTGCTATTCTTAATATCCAGAATATTAATCCAACATAGGAGGCTATCAACAAGCAAATACATGACACTTTTATGCAATGAAACATTTTTAGTCACAAAGAAAAATAAAATAGTGACATTTGAAGGAAGATGTATAGAACTAGAAATCATTAGTCAAGTGAAATGAGTTGGACCCAAAAGAAAAATGCATTCACCTCTCATATACAGAACTTAAATTTAAGTGTATTTGTGTATATGCTTGTATTGTATTGTGTGTGAGTTTGTAGGTCATGAAAATAGATAAGGATTATCAGAAAGGAGGAAAAGCTCTAAAGCATATAAAAGAAATAAAAGGTAAATGGAATACATGTCATAGGAAGGCTAAAGTGCAGAGGAACTAGAAGAAAGAACATCACCTGGAAGAAAGAGGGGGAACACTGAGGGCAGTGGGCAAGGGAATGGATACAAGCAAAATAAAATAACATATTCATATGAGGACAACATGATGAAACATTGTAGGCAAACCTTAAAATTAATTTAAATAAAAGTTTGCCTGATCTGTCAGAAATGTCCACTGATATGAGGAATGGTGACATACTGTGTAGTTTCTAAATCCAAAGCTGTATTTGGATACTCTGAGTAGATAATCATAATGTAAATATCAGCAATGTACCCAAGGGATCATTTGGACTTGTCACAGGTCCAGCCCAAGGTGCCCAGCACAGCAGCTACACTTTCTCCATGGGGAATGTTTGAACTCATAGTGGGAATTTCAGCTCTTCATTTCTTCTTTTGGCAAAAGCACACAGGTTTAAAGCTGGTTGGCATGTGTATTGAAAACAAAATTGTATAAAAATTGTCTGTGTTTATAGGATGAACACTCCACTATGAGCCACTGTGCTAAGAATTGCTCCCAATGTTACTGACTTCCTGACAGACTGTGTTTTTCTCTGCTTTAGAAATCCCAACACTTGGTAAAGATCCCTGAAACTTCGTCCTGGATATAGGTAAGAGAGAGATGATTTCTGTAAGACTCCTTCCTTCATGAAGAGCTAAAAATGCTCTTAAATATAATAATTTTATATTTACTTTTTCAGATTCTAGATCAGAATAGAAGAAAAGAGCAATAAAGGATTGCCTATATATTTTATTTTGTGATTAAATATTAATAAGCAAAATATTTAACCTGAATTCTTATGGTTAGAGAGTTTTTATTACCTACTTAATCAGTTGTAACATTTAGTTATGATGAGATGAAATATTAAGTTGCTCTTACATAGCGAACTTTTATGACAGTTGCAAAAAAAGTGAGTATTGAGAACATTTCCTCACTCCTCTATAGTCTCATCTTCCTCTAATAATTTAATTAAAGAGCATATATACATATACAGAAATAGAATATATATATATATGAAATGTGGTCTCTCTCTCTCTCTCTCTCTCTCTCTCTCTCTCTCTCTCTCTGGACCACATTTTGTGAAGTTTTATACACTGATATGTCTGTATATGTCTTTGCTTTATACAAACATACACCCTACATATAAATAGGCAGGAAATATGCAGAGATCTTTATTACATGGCATTCTTACCTTTTCCATACATACAATTTAAATGCAAATTTATTTGAGAATTTCTAATTCTTTCATTTGGGGTTACATGAAATAGAGCATTAAATTTTACCTTGCAAGGAAAAAATAATGAAAATGAAAATAAAATCAGATTTCTAGAGAAATTTAATTTGAATTGTTGGCATAGCAAAAGTAAAGATGAAAATATGTAAAGAAATGTCAGGCGGAGATGATATGTACATTGTCAACAAGAAACTTGTAAAATCAATGTTTTACGCAAACACAGAGTCTCTAGGAAATTGAATTTTCACATACAAAAGGAAAATAAAAATTCTCAGGATGGTCTAGGGAAGAGCTGCTGTGAAAACAGGCTTTCTGTTGTGCCACTGAGACTTGCCTACTTCTTCATTTCCAGTCTTCCTCTGGCAGCTCTTCTCACTGTGAAATGTCCGTCTTACACTATTTCTCTTCCTCCCCTTTGTTCCAATTTAACTAACCCAAATATCCCTTTCCTATACTTTTTGCTTTCTTCATACTTTCATCTTATGTCCTTGATGTATTTATCCATTTTATTTAAAACATGAATAAATATTCCATAGGTAAAATTTATGTTAGGTTTGAGCACTAAACAGATGGTGACTGTCTCCATGCTTCCGTTCCCCCAACGTATCTTCCATTGCCTTGGGGATTCTGCTGCCTTTTGGTTCCTTTGATTTTTCTGACACCTCTCTGTCACATAAAAGAAACCATTCTCAACAAAGATCCCATTTCTTAATTTCAACAATCAAAGATTTCCTTCACTTTTCCTATCAGTGTTTTAAATGTAAACTGTAGACATTTTTGCTTCATTTTGTCATTATTTGTGTCTGTCCCATATTAAGGACCATGGCTATCAGATATCTAGTTAAACTTAATTTTGTTGTTGTTGTTGTTTTGTATTTATTTTGAGGCAAGTTCTTCCTCCACGGCCAAAGAATTAATCTCCTGCCTCAGGCTCTAAAGCATTGGGGATTACAAGATTGTGCTACCATTTTCCAGCTTTTCTTGTCTTTTTTTGATCTTCATTGGAGTTAACTGTGCTTTGGGGACAAAGGAAAAAAAAGTGCATGATGAGGTAGATATTTGACTCTAAAGAAAATTAGGAGAATTTGAATATTCATCAAGAAAAATGATCAGTAGCAACAGGTAGCCAGGTAGTAATCAGTAAACAGCTAGTAGACAGCTCCCTGAAGCTGTAAGTGCAGCTAGGTCTTCTGCCCTGAGAGTCGAATCAAAGCATGCACTTCAATGCTGGAGTCCAGGTGGTGTTGCCTTCATGACTAAAACTATGCTTTATATCTGGATGTCTCACCCAGTTCCTGTTCTAAACCAAATCTAGGGGTGTGAATTTACAGTTTGGCCCAGTTCTACTGTATTTTCGATCAAAATGTAAAGGTTATTTTCAAATGCTCTAGTTTCAACAGTGGTGGACAGCTTCTGCCTGATGAAACAGGAATCAGATGGTTGTCAAAAAAAGAAATCTACCTCAATTATAACTACTTTAATATAAGCTTCTTGCATTTATTCCCAGGCCTCCATTTCCTTCTCTTTGTGTACTCTGCCATGCCAAGAAACACATAAACTTGCCGTTAGCCTCTCCCATTGGCACTGTCCGTATTCACTGTTGCTCACTCATCCTGCTAAGCCCTTGTCAACTGCGTGATCAGAGGATGAACATTTTACAACTTTGTTACTGAACTTCATCATGACGCTAAACTGTAAATGTCCATGAATACAGACACCACATGATACCTCTGCCCGTAACATAGGTGTCATGTGTCAGTGTACACGCTAATTTACTATTTTTTAAAAGTTGACCTTGTCACTGCTTCACCATTATCAAGGTCAGATCACCTCACACATATATGTATCACCCAGAAATTTTTAGAATGCAGGCATTTTTGTTGTTAACGTTGTTTTTTGAAATAAGATTTCTCTGTGTAGCTTTGGAGTCTGCCCTGCAACTTTCTCTGTAGACCAAGTTAGCCTTGAATTTACAGAGATCCGGCTTCCTCTACCATAGTGCTGGGATTAAACGTGTGTGCTACTACCTTCTGACTACAATGCAGTCTTTTACACATCATCTTAAAATTACTGTATCAGTTTCTATGGAAATACATCACAAATTTTGCACAATGTACCCAAGTAATTCAGACATATGATGTAGTTTGGAAACCTCAGAACAACAACAATGGTTTTATAATTGATGTTTTCCACTAGTTTTCCTTCCCAGTAACCTATTTTCTCTACCACCACATATTTAATTTTTAAAAATATTTTAAAATTGTTCTAATGCTATTCCCAATGGTAACATTTGAGTGAGTAAAAAATGGTGTGTTCCTCTTGTTTAACATCCTTGCAATACAGTGCCTAAGACATGTCCCTGAGATTAAGTGCTTGATTGCTGGTGTAGAGGAATGGGGCTCAGTTCGTCTTGTACAACTTACAGACTTATGAATGCCTGTATCTCCAGCTTCAAGGATACTACATTTATTTCTGACTCCCTACACATGTTCAGGTGTGCACGCATGTACACACAAACACAGACACAGACACACACACAGAGACACACACGCATATATATATATATATATATATACAAAAATATGTTAAAGTCTTTAAAACTTCTTACCATAGTATTCAACTCATGCTCTGCTTTAAAAATTAAATTGGTGTTGTTACATTAATCTAAATAATTTATTATTTAATGTTAGATAAAATTTAAAGGACCTTCTGATAGATGTTTGCATTCATTTTAAGTCCACGTCTCCAGTTTTTAACTTATAAGCTCTAGCAAATGATCTTTTACATTCACTACCTTTCATTTCAGAGCCATCCAGTGAAGACATGGACAAGCAGAATGACACAGTCTTGACAGAGTTTGTTCTTACAGGACTCATTGACCAGTCACTGTGGAAAATCCCTCTCTTCCTGGTCTTCTTGGTGATATATCTCCTCACCATTGTGGGAAATGTCAGTTTGATCACTCTCATCTGGATTGACCCTCATCTTCACATCCCCATGTACCTGTTCCTTGGAAGTTTAGCATTTGTAGATACATCTATATCCTCCATAGTGGTTCCAAAGATGCTGCTTAACGTCTTTGATAAAAGCAAGCTGATCTCTCTATCTGAATGTATGCTACAATTTTTTTTATTTAATATCAGTGCAACCACAGAATGTTTCCTCTTGGCAGCAATGGCCTATGATCGCTATGTAGCCATATGCAAACCTTTACTTTACCCAGTAGTTATGACTAATAGTCTGTGTGTATGTCTGATAGTCATGTGTTTTATAGGTGGAATTATTCATGCTTTAATTCATGAAGGTTTTTTATTGAGATTAACATTCTGTGATTCTAATGTGATACACCATTTTTATTGTGACATTATATCACTGTTAAAAATTTCCTGTACTGACACTTCTCTTAATTATCTAATTGTTTTTATTTTCTCTGGTTCAATTCAAGTTTTCAGTATTTCAACAATCCTTGTCTCTTACACTATTATTCTGATTACAATCTTAAAAAAGAAGTCTGATAAAGGCATAAAGAAAGCCTTCTCCACCTGTGGAGCCCATCTCTTATCTGTGTCTTTATACTATGGTCCACTTCTCTTCATGTATGTGCACCCTGCATCTCCAAAAGTAGATGATAAAGATATGATAGACTCTCTCTTTTACACTGTCATAATTCCTGTGTTAAATCCAGTAATTTACAGTTTCAGAAATAAGCAAGTCACAGATTCATTGGTCAAATTATTGCAGAGAACTTTTTAGACTTGTTACAATTATCTGTTCTGTTTGGGTAGATAATCACAGAAGACTCAAGGTCCAATGTGACAGTTATTCACTGTCCAAAGAATTTTAATATTGTAATTCAAAGTATACTTTAATAACAAAAGTACAAGAGTCTAAAATCTTCTTTAAAAATCTAAAGTCTTCAAGAACACAAGAGTACTTTCTAACAAATGTTATTACATATGAAAATAATTACATCAGAGAAAAATGAAGCCAGTGTTGAAGTTTTTTTAGTGTGTCTATATAAGTGTATTAACTGTTAAAAATAGTATAATTTCTGCAAATCACAATTATTTCCTTGATGCCAATACTGCTGTATAGTTTGAAGAAACACCACATTCAACTGTGTGGAGGAAGCAGGCTTTTATTTTACTGGACAGAAGCAGAACTGTAATATATGGCTAGTTATCAACATGTTTTTATTTCACTTCTTTAAAAAATGGTTAATTTTACTTCTTAGAGAAACTCAACCTAAAAGTTACAAGATAAATAAAAAAAAAGAAAATTCAATGAAATACTTATGACTCCAGGGAATAACTGTAAAGTAAAGTGCTGAGTGTGGAGTAATCAGATGAGTGAACAGAGTCCAGGCTCCATTGTCTAGGGTGCTCTCTAAGGCCATTTTCAGTGCTGCTTTGTATTGTCTGATGGTCTCACTCTTGAGAGCCTATGTAGTTCAAAATCCAATAGTAAACTGGACAAGTTGAGAGAAATGCTAGAAAAGAGTGCACAATAGGGAGGAAAGATTGTCAATTGTTTTTAATTTAGGTAAAATGACACTATTAAGCTAAAGCTTCCAATAACACAATTATTGGAATGTATATTTGAGAAAAGGAAGCTTCAAGTGTATGTTATCAAAAGTTAAATAACAATACCACTTTATGATACAATAATACAATATGGGTTTGGAGGTGTATGTGAAAATAAGAACACAAATAAGCTAATGAACAAGTGTGTTTGCATGTGTATGTGTGTGTGCATGTGTGTGAAGCAATTTTCCTGTTGGCCTTTCACGCATTGTACATTTTCATGTTTCCCGAGCTATTCATCTACAGTTCCACCTTGCGTTTTTTCTATCATCATGGAAATGCCATAGAGATTCCTACTGATGTAGCAGAGGCACTCACTCTAAAAATCTTACCTCTGTTCATGTAAAACTGAAGGTTTTGTATCCTGCCACATTACTAAAGGTGTTTATCAGCTGTAGGAGTTCTTTGGTAGAGATTTTGAAGTTGCTCATGTATACTATCATATCATCTGCAAATAACAAGAGTTTAACTTCATACTTTCCAATTCGGATCCCCTTGATCCCCTTATGTTGTCGTATTGCTATTGCTAGAACTTCTAGCACGCAGTTGCCCTCCTATACACAAAGGATAAAGAAGCAGCGAGGGAAATCAGAGAAACTTCACCTTTCACGATAGCCACAAATAGCATAAGATATCTTGGGATAACTCTGACCAAGGAAGTGAAAGACCTATTTGACAAGAACTTTAAGTCTTTGAAGAAAGAAATTGAGGAGGATACCAGAAAATGGAAATATCTCACTTGCTCTTGGATTGGGAGGATCAACATAGTAAAAATGGCAATTCTACCAAGAGCAATCTATAGATTCAATGCAATCCCCATCAAAACCCCATCAAACTTCTTCACAGACCTTGAGAGATATAATAATTAATTTCATATGGAAAAACAAAAAACCCAGGATAGCCAAAACAATCTTATATAATAAAGGAACTTCTGGAGGTATAACCATCCCTGACTTCAAACTCTATTACACAGCTACAGTATTGAAAAGAGTTTGGTACTGGCGTAAGAACAGAGAAGTTGACCTATGGAATCGAATAGAATACCCAGATATTAACCCACCTATGAACACTTGATTTTCGACAAGGGGGCTAAAGGTATGCAATGGAAGAAGGAAAGCATCTTTAACAAATGGTACTGGCATAACTGGATGTCAACCTGTAGAAGAATGAAAGTAGATCCATATCTGTCACCATGTACGAAAATCAAGTCGAAATGGATTAAAGGCCTCAACATTAATCTGACCACTTTGAACCTGATAGAAGAGAAAGTGGGAAGTAGTCTACAAGACATAGGCACAGGAGACCACTTCCTAGGTAGAACCCCAGTAGCACAGACAATAAGAGAATCAATGAATAAATGAAACTGAGAAGCTTCTGTAAAGCAAAGGACACTGTCAGTAAGACAAAAAGGCTACCTTCTGACTGGGAGAAGATCTTCACAAACCCCTCATCAAATAAAGGCCTTATCTCCAAAATATACAAAGAACTCAAGAAACTAGAAACTAAAAGTCTAATTAACCCAATTAAAAAATGGGGTGCAGATCTGAACAGAGAAACTCGAACAGAAGAACTTCGAATGGCCAAAAGACACTTAAGGTCATGCTCAACATCCTTAGCGATCAGGGAAATGCAAATCAAAACAACTATGAGATACCATTTTACACCGGTCAGATTAGCTAAAGTCAAAAACACCAATGATAGCCTATGCTGGAGAGGATGTGGAGAGAGGGGAACTCTCATCCATTGTTGGTGGGAACGCAAACTTGTGCAGCCACTGCGGAAATCAGTGTGGCGATTTCTCAGGAAACTGGGAATCAACCCCCCTCCATACCCAGCAATTCCACTCTTGGGAAAATACCCAAGAGATGCCCTATCATACCACAAAAGCATTTGTTCAACTATGTTCATAGCAGGACTATTTGTAATAGCCAGAAACTGGAAACAACCTAGGTGCCCCTCAATAGAAGAATGGTTAAAGAAGGTGTGGAAAATATATACATTAGAGTTTTACTCAGCGGTAAAAAACAATGACATTTTGAATTTTGCATGCAAATGGATGGAAATAGAAAACGCTTTACTGAGTGAGGTAAGCCAGACCCAAAAAGAGGAATATGGTATGTATTCACTCATAAGTGGATTCTAGCCATAATTAAAGGTCTTTGAGCCTATTATTCGTGATCCTAGAGAAGCTAAATAAGAAGGTGAACCTGAAGAAAATCATGTAGGTATCCTCCTGGAGATTGGAAATAGACAAGAGCCCCAGAACCTTCATCTGTCGATGGATGGAGATAGAGACAGAGACCCACATTGGAACACTGGACTTAACTTCCTAGGTCCAAACGAGAAGCAGAAGGAAAGAGAACGTGAGCAAAGAAGGCAAGACCAGAGAGAACCTTCATCCGATGATGGATGGCAATACAGACGGAGACCCACATTGGAGCACCGGACTGAGCCCCCCAAGGTCCAAATGAGGAGCAGAAGGAGGAAGAACTTGAAAAAGGAAATCAGGGCCGCGAGGGGTGCGATCAACCACTGATACAAGGGGACTGATCTAATGAGAGTTCACCAAGGCCAGTTGGACTGGGACTGAACGAGGGCACGATCCAACCAGATTCTCTGAATGTGGCCGGATTCTCTGAATGTGGCTGGCCCGGAGTCTTTCTGAAAAGCCATTGACAATGACACTGGGTCTTGTTTCCTCTGCATGTACTGGATTTTTGGGATCCAATCCGTCTGGACACTCACCTTCCTGGACCTGGAGGGAAGGAGGAGGAAATTGAACTTCCCACAGGGCAGGAAACCCTGACTGCTCTTAGGGATGGAGAGGAAGGAGGAGAGGGAGTGGGGGGAGTGGGAGGGTGTTGAGAGGTGGGGCGGAACTGGAAACTTTTATAATTTAATAAACTTTGGGGAAAAAAACTGACGGTTTTATATTCTGCAACCTGCAAATACTCTCTTCTTTCAGAAGTGATGCTGCTAGGTAATTGTTGATGATCAAAATGGATGAATTCAAACCCCTTTAAATATTTTTAAAGTATTTTCATAACTATAAGATGGTATTCACGTACTTTATTAATATCTCATATTTATTTTCATATGTATCATGCATAATTTTGTTCTATACGCTGATGTGGGCAAGGCTATATTTCTCTGTACCTTGCATTTCTCATACTGGTGTGATTTGAGGTCCTCTCTAATGAAACCTTCTCTAACTCTTGGGTCTCTTTATCTTTCACAGTTCTCCAAATGAAAATTTTGTTGTATCCAAAATGCATTGCTGAAATTCATCTGGACCTACCTTACCTTCTTACGTGTTTGCTTTCCCTTAAAAGTCTTCTTCACAGAAAATTCCTGTCCTGCCTTGCCACACCCCTACCACTAATACTCCTTATTAGTTTAACGTTTTGAGGTCTTACCGAACTGTGACTGCTTCCTTATAAGGCTTTCACATAACCACTACTAGGACAGGAAATATCACTCATTAGAACAACTTAATAACATACATTGGGCCAAACTTGACCTTATGTGACAAATAGCTTTGACTTGTAAATATAATCTAAATTCCTACTGCTCTGCTACTTTTTGGTTTCTATCACAGCAGCTTACATATGTGAGACCTTACATAAATGTTTGCAAAATTGAAGTATATTCACTAATACACAAAATGCAATGAGTATGTCATGCTTTTCAATGAAAACTTAGCCGCTGGTTGGTGAAATGGCTCTGCTTGTAAAGCTTGTTGCCAAGGCTTAAGAACTGAGGCTTGAACATTTCCTTAAGTGTCTTTCAACCACTTTAGATTCATCTGTTGAGAGTTCTCTGTATATGTCTGTACTCCATCTTTTATTGGATTATTTGTTCTTTTGATGAAAAATTTCTTGAGTTCTCTGTATATTTTGGAGATCAGACTTTTGTCTTATGTAGGGTTAGTAAAGATCTTTTCCCATTCTGTAGACTGTTTTGTTTTGTTGACAAGTTCTTTGTTTTACAGAAGCTTTTCAGTTACAGGAGGTCCCAGTTGTTTCTCTAAATGTTTGTGCTACTGAGGTTTTATTTAGGAAGTGGTCTCCTGTGCCAATGTGTTTGAGTATACTTCCCACTTTCTCTTATATAAGTTTCAGAGAACCTAGACAACAGTAAGGACCCTAAGAGAGATATACATAGATCTAATCTACATGGGTAGTAGAAAAAAG